GAGATGTCACGGGGTGACCGGGAAGGAAAAAGCGGGGCCTCCTCTCGCTGTGTGCCCATTATCAAGAGGCAGCTGGGTCCTTGGGACCAAGTATCATGGATATGACTGTAAGCAAGTTGCTTGACTTCTGTCACCCATAAAAGAAGACAGCCTTCACTGTTAGAAGGAAAGCTTCAGGTAGTTGTATAGCTTTAGGTTACTTGTGGTTATCTTAAATAATAACTGCCATTTAGAGGGTAAACTGTGTCAGTCATGCGCTCAGGACCCTGTACAGCCAGAGGTCAAATTGTGGTTGTTATTAGTATCTATGTCTCCATTTTTCTTTAATTACAAACTTCCCCATACTTGTCAGCTTTATTTATTTCCTCACTCACTGAATGGTTACTGGGTATCTAATCTGTCCCCGCTTACTTTCTAACTAGGTGACTTGAGGCACAGACTTCATCTTGCTGAACCTTGGGTTACCCATCCATTAAATAGGAACATTAATAGTACTTACCTCACGGGGTCACTGGCCCTGTAACCAAGCCCCTCTCTCCAGTTTGATGTTTGGAGTAAGAAAGATACAGTCTGCAAAGGAAGGCTAGGGAGTGCTGGACACACAAAACACTAGTGTCCTTGCAACCCCAAATGTGCTTATTAAGGTGAATTCCGGTTCATGGCATATTTTTCTGGAACATGCTGTCATCTGTTACCACCTTAAAAGATAATCACTCAGGCAGCTGCTGCTTCTGCTTGAGGGTAAGGCCTAGAACATTGGCAGTTTCTGAGGACTGAGTCTGTGTTCATCCATGAAGGGTGTAATACATCATTTTCAGCACCAAAAATGTACTTTGGTCAGCCTATGAAATGCTTTCAACCCTTTGAGCCAATCCAATGTCCTTGTGAAAAAAAGCTGCATGTTTGAGGGTTGTAACTTAAAAAAAACCAAAAAAACCACTCTGGTTTCATCCAAGAATGGCCACTCCCATCAAGAATTCTGAGTAGTGAATCTATATGAAATGATCGATGTCAACTAAACCTATTGTGCTAATCACATGGTACAGTTGACTCTTGAACAACTTGAGAGCTAGGGGTGCCGATTCACTGCACAGTCAAAAATCTGTGTGTAGCTTCTGACTCCCCCAAAATTAATGACTAATAGCCAGGCAAAAAGGGGATCAAGCCTTGTAGCAGCTTCTGTGGGATTCACCATCCAGTGTGTGGTTACCAGTTGCATGCACATAAAACTCTCGGCCTGAGGCTTCCTCTCCAAAGTGTGCTAGGCAGGCAGGAAGTGCTGGAGCTAAGCAACCCATGAGAGGCCCTCAGCCAATGGGATTTGGAAGATAAAGGCCCCAATTTCTTTGCCCCTCAAGGGTAACAACTTGGAGGTGAGCTGGAGCTCACGATGCTGTTTGCCCAAAGTCTCCAAGGAGACTGAGCCTCCCTCGTCCACAGCAATAACCTGCTTGATGACACATTCTTTATCGACTTTCTTCCCTTCCCTGACGTCCCCACTTCCCTAGCAGTGTTTCCCGAGACCTCTTCCCAAACAAACTATTTCCCCTTGAACCCTTGACTCAGGTCTACTCCTGGGAGAAGCACCTAAGACAGTCACGGTCCCAGAAGTAGCAGGAACATGGGCAAAGGGGGAGGGACTGTGCAGAGCAAGCTTGAGGAGATGGAGGGATTGGAGCGAAAGCTCAAACGGTGACCAGCCCGCAGCTCAATTATGAGATGTGTCTAAACACGAGGTTTAATAATAGCAAGATTATGCTGACAAGCACCTCCGCATGGAGCCAATATTTTTTCCCGCAGAGCCACAGCTTTTAGATGCTAGTTTAGACTTTTAGTTTTTCATCATTCTGGGTGCTGCCTTTCATTCCAGATTCTTCCTTTTTCTCTCAGTCATTGGAAGAGAAATGGTAACCCTGCTGTGAGAGCCAAACCTTTCTTGTGTGGAGTGAGACTTGGGAAATGCCACTGGGGCCTCTCCATGGGCGGAAAGTGCTCCCCACAGAAATGCCACCCGGTGCACATCATGGCCCCGGAGAAGACAGATACTGGCTGGTGGGTGGGTATGACAGTGGGAGGTCTACACACAATGGAGGAAGATAGACCAAGGCGTGGGGAAATGGGGACTCTTTGTTCCTTTGGAGTTGCTCCCTCAAGTCAAACATTGTCATTTCAGTGAAGTCTTCTTGGCTGAGCAGCCAATTGTTCTGAGAGATCATTAAACAGCACTCAGTGCAGGGACAATCAATAATACAAGGGTTGCTTCTGAGTGGAGATGACAAGAGTAGCAAGTGTCTTGAGATCTAAATCCATTCCTGTGGGGTTGTCAATCTCATGGAGAGGGGTTCAGAGACCTGGTGGTGCAGGTTCCAGTGGCTCCTCCCACTGTGCTTTCCCTAAATGAGTGACCAGGGGACCTCTGTCTCATCCAGTAGACGGAGAGGAAATTGAGCTGCCAAGCCATATGAGGCTCCCACTAGAGATTTGGAGGAAGATGAATGGTACTTAAGGAACAAGAAGACCGTGAAATCAAACCATTAAAAAACAATTTCAAGACCAGTCAACTTCCCTCACCTTCTTTTTGCTGTGATAGAGCCCCCAAAGTCATAGGACGGTTCCTTTGATCTTGCTCAAGTTGGTATGTTGACTTTCTCACTATAAAGGTGCTTCTTGCATTGGGGGGAAATGCTGCCTCGGGGAGGGAATGGGGAAAGGAGAGGCTCAACACTCTTCCCCCCACTTTCTCATTTGGTTATTTTTCAGCCTTGGAGACAAAGCTGGGATTCTTGGACTGACATCACCAAGGTTGCCTGCAGGCATGCCTAGGAGAGAGACAGCCTCACTAGGCTTACTTTTCACTCATTTCTAAAAACTTCATTTATTCAATCTGAGCTGTTTGTCACTTTATACCCCCAAAATTGAGGCCAGAATTGAGGTCCAGGATGGACTTATGTGGGTTTTTGGCCCATGGAACAGGATGCCTTTAAATCTATGGGTGTCACCTACAATGACATAAATTTCCCCTTCTGCCTTTCCGTTTCTCCATTTTTTAGTTTTTAATTTAAAAATTATAGAGAAATGCGTTCTCCTTTTGAAAAATGAAACCAAAACACTTCGGATAAGATTAAAGGCCACTGTGACCAACAGTGTCCCCTCCCACCCCCAGAGAGGTAACAACAATTGCAGGAGGACATGTGCCCCTCTAGTTGTTTTTGCATTAATAACATACATGTTATGTATTTCTGTCCCTGCAGAACACATGAAGAACGTGTGTTTAAATGTATTAAAGCGATCCTGTTTTATATACTGTTCTCCAACCTGCTTTTCCGTTCGACAGGTGCTCGGACTGGACTCAGAGCCGCGGCTCTGGTGGCACAGTTGGGATGGGGGCATGCGGGAAGCTGAAACCCAGCCCAAGGAAGGGCTGGCTGCCTTTCTCTCATTTGCTTACCCAACGGGGACCATCTTTTTCTAACTCATTCAGAGATACGGTATGCTGTGGTGCTCCTGGCTGCATCTTCTCTGCTCTGTTTAATTGCTTCGTTGTAGCCCATGGTGCAGATTTATTGAATTTCATGTAAACACCTCCATGGCTGGACCTTCGAGCTGTCTCTGGTTTCTCATGGTCACAGATGCTGCCATGAGCACCCTTGCACACATCTCCGTGTGCACAGTTGCCGGTGTTTCTTTAGAGGCAGTGGGATGGCTGAGTCACAGGGATACACATTTTAAATTCCAGCAGACGATGCTGAACTGCCCCCGAAGGGCACCATCAACATGCAGGCTGCCCGGTAGCGTAGAAGGTGCCCGTGTCTGTCCTCGCCAGCGTGTGAGGCTGCCAGACTCTGATGTTTCCTGACTGCCTTCCCTTCTTCCCGTGCATCTGGTTGACTCTTCTGCTCTGGGCTTGTCCCTCACCTGCTGCTTTATGTTGCTCCTGGTTCCTTCATGAACGTGATCTGCACCTTGGCTCTCTAGCCACTGAGCTTCCTGCTGCTTGGTCCCTTTACTCTGTCAAGGTGTGTCTGCTCCCATTCTGGCCTGAATTCCAGGTGGGAAGTGGGCAGGAGGACAGCCCCATATGAACCTAGCTGTGTGATCATGGGTCGGTTGCTTGTCTGGGCCTCAGTTTCCCCACCTGCATCCTAAAGGAACTGGGTTACAGGAACTCCAGGATTTTAGTTCCCAAGTTCTGACTTAAGTAGAACTAAAAACAAAAAATCACCTAAAAAGGTGCTTTTGCCTCTACCAGTGCTAATCACAGCAGGGCTGGTTGACATGCTTGATGGTGAGTCACTTGAAGGGGTAATGAGCAGGTATGGGTTTTATTGCTCCAATAAACTAGATCACCATTCATTTCTGTGTTTTCATGGGTGAGAGTGGGTGACGAAGGACGGACCTTGTGGTCTGCCCAAGCTCTCAACCAGGCAGTGAACGCTTCTTGAATAAATCAGGCCCACCTCCACCTCTGCAGATGTCCTTCTTGCTCTTTGCTCATTGCCACCCTTCAGCATTCGTTCAGCAGCTTTTTGTTGAGCACCTACTATGTGCCCTGCCTCATGGTCATTTTTGGAAAGGGTGAGAGTGGAAGGTGGAGGGGAGTGGGAAAGAGCTTCTATGAGCTGCCAGCTCTCATGGCTAGATCAGTGCTGTTTAATAGAACTGTTTGAGATGATAGAACCACCCTGGGAAATCTTTGCTGTCCAATGTGAACAAACTCCAGGTGCCTTGGGCCACCTGCTGTAGAAGGTGTGGTTGGGATCCCTGGGCTAAGGTATAAGGATTGTCTGGAAGCCATCCAGTGCTGGGGGCCCTGCAGCAGACACTCTAGAACTCAGCCCTGCCAACCCTCTCTTAGAAGCCTCAGTCTCTTACCCTGAAGAGAATTGTTTTGAGGATCAAAGGACACAGAGTGTGTGTAGGCATTGGCCCAGAGCCCACAGTAGGTGCTCAGTCGGAGTAACCCCTCCCCCTCTGTTGTGTTTCCTTGGTTCTCAGGACTCCTGCCTGCTTCTGACAATAAAAAGCTTCCACCTCGAAGCAGTGAGGACGTGGGGCTCAGGGAGCAGAGCCTGTGCTTCTGGGAAGGGCAGGCGGAAGAGGCCACCTCCCCCTTCAAAGGCTGCCAGAGCCTCAGACTCTGACTCAGGTAAGTTGTGCAATTTTATAGACGCCACAAATCATGTCACTCTCATTGTGGGGATTTTCAAGGGTGGGAATGCGCCTCCCCCACTACTGCCTACCTAGACAGGTGCTGGCGCATAATAGGTGCGCAGTAAATAGCTGTGGGTGGATTAATCACCCAGAGTCATTGTAGCTCAGTGGAAGCCAGGAAGCCATGTGTTTTAGATTCCTGCCTCCCCTCTCCCCATCTCTGCCTCTCCAGGAAAATGCAAGGACTTCAGGGTCTGACTCTCAGCTTTGCTGTGGGCTGGCTCTGTGATCTTGGCAAGTGCCAACTCTGCTTGGTGTCTCAGTTTCCCCATCTGTCCCCCGGTGCCGTCGAATTCTGTGACCTAAATACACATGGGCTGCTTTTGCTGGGCAGGTCCTGAGGTTACCATGGGCATCAGTACACATCTCTCTTCGGGTTGGAGTTTGTCTGGG